TCACATTTAAGTACGTCTCATTTAAGTCTGTCAAGGCTCGTGACGTAGCTGTGACGTAAACTAACGCATGGGCATGAGGTTCCTTAGTATAAAATGCCCCCATCACTGGCTTATCCCAGTGAGAAATGACATCTTTTCGACGTCTATCAGTAAGTCATTTTTCACTGGGTAGCGCTGTGTGCGACCCGATTGGTGGTTGGTCGAGCCGTTCATGACGATTTGGGTCGTCACATAGTTTGCTTATCGCCAGAATCGATATTCACCCGAAAGTTCTGCTATCTATTTGGAAAAATGTTATGTATTACGAATTGCTTCCATTCAGTCAGATTATTAACTTCGAGAAGTACTGTTCTCAGATAAATTTAAAAGGCGGTAATCGCTGGAAAACGTTCGGAATTTACTAATATTATATTGTCTACCACCAAGACAATGCCAGGCCACATGTTTTTTTAGCTACTAGGAATAAATGGGTAGCGCGTTTGATTGGAATTTCTATCCTATCTTTATTTTCCTGACTTTACTCCTTTTGATTACTACTTGTTCGTCTTTTTTAAGAAATTTATCATAAAAAGTTAATTATTTGAATGATATCAATATTCACTTGAATCTGTACTTTGCCATAAAATCAAAGGTATGTTGAAAAAATGGCATCCGAAAAGATAAAGAAAGATAGTAGAATAGTTTATATATTTTTCATTAAATTATGTTATTTTACATAATTGTGAAGTTTTACATATTCAATTTAATTGTGTACTTAGATAGCCAAACCTGCGCGAGCAGATTTTACGCAGGGTTTGTCAACAGTGTCTACTGACAGAATGGCAACAGATTACACACACACAGAAACTGTTTTATCGGTCTCTGACGACTGATTGGTGACAGACTGCGCGCAAAGACTGCCGACAAACTTTGACGGCAGATTGGCGGCAGATTGCGCACAGATTCTGTTTCGTAGATAGGCTATTTAATTTTATCAAGGGCCATACCCACACAGCAGGAATGTCCCAAATACATCATAGGGATATCTTGAAGATATCACATATCCGAAATATATCTTTAGGATATCTCTATGATATATTTTGGACACCTCTGCTGTATGGATATGTATGCTATTAAATGGAGTAGTTTCATATGCACATCATGTAAAACTCTGAGAGGAGTCAAGATAATTATATTGTGCAATAAGTGAACACATATACATAATAAAAAATAATTTTTACTTTTTAAAATTGTATTATACACTTCTTTTAAAAGTAAAAATAATAGAGAAATAAACGATACGATATAATAACGAGTACAGGTATAGAATAGTACAATGGTTAAATGGCCAGTTTAAATGGCTATTTAAAGGCGTACATATGCTATCCCTGGTAAAAATTGTTCTCATAATTTTTCATACAATTTCTCGTATTGTTATTATTTTTTTTTAATGTCATTATGTCATTAAATCTGAACGATTTAATCGTCATGCAATAAGTACTGAAGGCGCAGCAGCACCGAGTAAAATATTGGCTTCGCCATGTAAATAACTTTTGCAGATCTTTTGATGGTTTATTTGGAAGTATATCATGCTTCGATTTTGATAAAACTTTGATAAAATTTAATACAATCTGAACTGGAAGATCGACGAAATTAATTCGTACATGTAAAAGCACAATATTTTATTAGCACGATGGAAAAATGTCATTATCTGCTGTTTTATTGCAGTGATTTTCTATAGAGTCTCTGGTAGAAAATTAATTTCGAATTATCGTGCCGGTCTCTCTTACA